TATATATATATATATATATTTATATATTGTGTGTGTATATATATATAGGCATATGAAAAAGGTATTGCGCTGTTTAAGTGGCCTAATGTTTATGACATTTGGAATACGTACCTCACAAAATTTTTAAAACGTTACGGTGGTACAAAACTAGAACGTACAAGAGATCTGTTTGAGCAATGTTTAGAATATTGTCCACCAAAGTATGCCAAAGGTATGCAACTTTTACATATTATCTTATTAATTTACTATTTGTAATAAGATAATAAATAATCTTTGTTTATTACAGCTTTATATTTGTTGTATGCAAAGCTAGAAGAAGAACATGGTTTAGCAAGACATGCCATGTCTGTATATGAACGTGCGACGAATGCTGTCCTCCCAGAAGAAAGATTCGACGTAATGTTATTTTATAGATACATTTTTTTTCTTGCTATTACAGCTTATAATATGTATCCAAAAAAAGTTATGTTTGTTATATATTTGTATATGTGTATATTTTTTCAATTAAAATGTGAAATTTTTTTCAATTTAAAACTTCATAATATTGTTAAGGTATCTAGATAATATTAACTACAGAATTGAAAAATTAATTTCTTAATTCGCAGATGTTCAATATATATATTAAGAAAGCTGCCGATATATATGGTGTACCAAAAACTCGGCAAATATATGAAAAGGCTATAGAAGTCTTGAATGATGACAACACAAGAGAAATATGTTTACGATTTGCAGAAATGGAAACCAAATTAGGAGAAGTAGATAGAGCGAGAGCGATATATGCGCATTGTAGCCAAATATGTGATCCAAGGGTATGATATTTCATATAATGTTCATAATACATTCGAGCAGCGTTATGTTATTCATTTTAAACGCATTAAATTGAAACGATGTAGGTCACGTCCAACTTTTGGCAAATTTGGAAAGAATTTGAAGTCAGACATGGAAATGAGGACACAATGCGTGAAATGCTTCGAATCAAACGTAGCGTGCAAGCTATGTATAATACTCAAGTAAACATGATGTCCGCACAAATGTTGAATAATGCATCCAATCAAATATCAGATGTTACGCTGGATGCTATGCGTTTATTAGATAGTAAAATTACATCAAATGCAGGTAATAGAGATTTTATACACACATGCGCATGTGCGCGCGCATACTCATCCCATTTTGTCTCTCTCTCTTTATTTTACAAATTTTAAATAATTTTAAACACTTTTGAATTGCAGACAATGCTGCTGATGTCAAAGGAGTTATCAAATTTGTACGTGGTGTAACAGAAAAAGATGGGAAACCAGAATCTCATGTGAATAATCCAGATGAGATTAATATTGACATAGATGACGAAAATGATAATGATGTAGAAATAGAAGAAATAGAAGAAGGTACTACAATATATTTACAAGTAGTTTCCAAATTAAATTATCTTTTATATAAGTATATATAAACTATCCTTTATGTTTTTCTCAACATCGTTTGAATTAAATCTACATATGTTCTCACTCTTTATTATATTTTCACAAATTTTTCTTAGATAAGACAATTATGTGTTGCAACTTTTGATTTTATATTAGATATTTTTATAATCAAGATAGTCACGATATGATCCTAATTAATAATCTGTTTAAATTTTTTAACTTCAAAGAATGAAAAATAAGATTGTATTATTTTCGTAGTTTATTCATTTACATACATTCAAAACTTAATTACACTAGTCGACAAAATTCAATCTTTTTTGGCCTCAAAATAAACAAAGTTGTTTCTGGTAAATTTGGATGCGCTTATTATGAATGTGATCTCGAAAATATCATATTACGTCAAGTTTTTGAGGTATTCTAACTTAATGGTGCAAAAAAGAGGTATTTTACCATTTTCAATATCCTATAAAATGTCGAACAATTTCTTTAGCATCTAGACATTCTAGACGGATGTCGCATTAAAGTGTTATTCTTATACCCTCGTGCACATTTTATTCCTCACATCGAAATAACTTATGTGTAAAATAGCCGATCGGAAGGGGTCATTTAAAATTATACAGGGTGTTTCAGAAATAGTTGGCCAAACTTTAAGAGCATACTCCACTCATTGTAAGGATAAAAAAAAGTCACACAAACAACATGGGAAACGCTTCCTTTCCAAGTGTTATAAACATTTTTTTGTTTTATACTTATACCTATATTTTATTTTATACTTATATCTATAGGTATTTTATTTTATGCTTGTATTTATTTTTTATTTTATACTTATATCTACAAATTTTCCAATTTTGTTTCATTTTTGACATAAAGTTGACCAGATTAGACTATATTATCGCTTATATCTTAATTGTGGAGAAAGATTTTTTAATCTATCTTAATGGCAGAAAAATACTTATTTAAAAAATAATCGGTAAAACAGATGAGTTTACACCCCCTTAAGGGGATCTTAAAGTCATCTGTATTACAGATTAAACCATTAAACCACATTAAACCATGCATATAATTTTTGTATACTAATTACTTTTTTCCTCTTTTACTGATTCAAAAATCCTTTTTTAGGATTAATGGTTATTGTTATACGAAAATATATATGTATGTATGGTATGCGTGAGTGAGATATTGATGTAGTGATGTGTCAATGACACGTAAATCGTCTATATGCTATTTACAATATGACTAATCGTCTCTAGGATCCCTTGAGACTAAATTAGTGTCGGTTAGTGTTATCTGTCGACTATGGCTCCGTTCTGATATTCACTGCCAGTACCGAAAGTTTACAGTATATGTCAAGTACACTGTAGATTTCCAGCACTGGCAGTGAATATCGGAATACAGCCTAACATTAAAAAAAAAAAAAAATATTAGTATATCAATGTTTTTATGAGATTAGTTCCAAACTAATCTAATATTTTATTAAAATTTAATATAGAGATATAACAAATATATATTATAAACTGAGATATATCTTTTTATTAATATTTTATTAATTTTCAGATGTACCGATTGAGAAACAGACTATACCATCACAAGTATTTGGTAGTTTAAAAGCAGTCCAAACTGAAGAGGATTGAGATTTTAATAAGATAGCATTATGGTTAAATAATATCTATAATATTTATATGTAGCAACTATATTGCTATACAGGGTGTTTTTTATATAGCGGATACTAATCGTATAGCACTATTCCTGATTAAAAATTGAGTCTGAAAGTCTATTATTTTGCAATTTTCGCAATGATTGACAAAATATTAATTTCTAAAGATTGCCGGATAAGCGATTGCTGAATCGCATAATGCTATTCCTGATAAAAAAAAATTGAGATAATTCTTTGCATTAGCAGTGAATTTGTATTTGTGAAGCAGAGAATTTGTATCTGATGCAAAACGTATACATAGCGCTGTATCGATTCGAGATGATAGACATCTTAACCTTTAAAGGCTGCGTTCGAGGAACGCGCTATCAACGCTACTTGTGTCATACTATCCTTGTTTCACATTTAATGGACGATGAAGATAGAATGACACAAATAGCGCTAATAGGGTCTCCCCGAACCCAGCCAAAGTCTCGAGCTTTAAGGGCCATTCCACACAAACTTACAGAGCCATATAACCATATGCATAAAGAAAATTATTCAATCACATTTCTGTCATAAAGCCAAGCGTAAACTACGATTGGACGATTTTCTTTATGCATATGTTTATGCGGCTATGCAAGTTTGTGTGAAATGGCCCTAACGATTAATAACTTGATTTACCTGGCCAACCGCCGCGTTTTTTTTTTTTTACCAGATTCCTTTTAACTGAAAACTCGTCGAATGAATTTATTTTTTATTAAGATTCTCGGGTGGGGGGGGGGCCGTGTTCTAAATAATTACCAAAATTGAATTATAAAATGTAAAGCCTTCTACCATTTTGCAACTTTCATAAGTCCGGATCTACAATAGGTGTTTCATGCCTTATGCCGTAAGAAACTGACCAATTACAGTCGAATCCGAGAAGAATAAGCGACTGTGATTCGCCCATTTCTTATGGCTTAAGGCTTAAAACTCTATCGTAGATCCGGGGTAATAGTTAATAATTGGGCAGTGGAATACGCGCTTTGGATTCGGCAATTTTTGGAAATTAATATTCCATCTATCATTGTGGAAATTGCAAAATTGCAGAGGACTTTTCTACTCAATTTTTAATCAGGAATAAAATCCGCGACACAGACTTTTGCATAAAGCATAATGCATAGTGCATAAACGAATCAACTAATCAGAATTTTTCCTTTCCTCCCATTCCATGGAAAAGAAGAATTTCAATTGGTTGATTCTCTTATGCACTATGCGTTATGCAAAAGCTTGTGTCTAGGCCCTAACGGTACATGATTAGTGTTCGCTATTTAAGAAACACCCTGTATAGCACCTGCAACTAACTAAGGCTGCTTTCCTTTTAGGAGACACAGTCGACACACTTGACACAAATCGACACACGTCGCTTTCCATTTACAATTTTGTTCAAACTCAATCGACACACTTCGCCTCTGCTCGGGAGCAGAGTCAGAGTGTGTTTCGAGTCTGTTCAAGTGTAATTTTGATGAATT